AATCAATTTTTATTTTAGTTTAGTACACAGTGAGAGATATGGGCCCAGCCTCAGTTTTCAAATGGATAACCAGCTTTCCCTGCATGATTTACTAAAGAGGTTTTCTTCCAATACATATATTTTGTCCCCTTCATAAAAGATCAAATGTGGATAGGCTTATTTATGGATTATCTATTCTGTTCCATTGATTCACTTGTCTGTTTTTGTGCCAAAACCATGCCACTTTTAATTAATTAATGTAGCCTTGCAATATAACCTAAAGTTATGTATTGTGAGGCCTCCTGGTTTGCTCTTATTGTCTAAGATTGTTTTTGTTATTCTGGGTCTCTTCTGATTTTACAGAAATTTTAGGGTTGTTTCTGCTAGTCTACGAGGAATGTTATAGGTATTTTGATTGTGATTGAGTTATGCCCATACATTAGTTTTGGAATAACAGCCATTTTGGTAATATTAGTTCTGCCTATCCTGGAAAAGAGATGTCTTTCATTTTCTGATATTATGGTCTGTGTCTAGATGCCTCATGCTGTCACAGGGTTTTTTTTCCAAGGGTAGCTGAACCTAGAATATGTGATTGAGTCATAGTGGAATACTGGGATTAAGAGTGCTGGAATTATGGATGAGTGATTGCTGGACTAATGTGCTGAGTGGATTGGCACCATCCTACTCCTGGTAGACTGGATTCAATACATGGGACAGAGAGAGGTTTGCATTGCTTATTGCTTATGGCTTTTGCTGTCTTCTACCACAATAAACAGTTACCCTTCAGCCATGTGCCATCCTACCATGAAGCCAGCTGATTATGAACTGAAACCTGACAACTGTGAGCTCAACACACCCATTTTAAAATCTTGAACTAAGATGTCAATAATTGCCAAGGCTAGCTTCAAACTCAGTCCTCCTGCTTCAGCCTTTAGAGTGCTGAGGTTATAGGAGTGTACCACTAAGCCCATTTGACGCTAAGATTCCTTAAATTCTTCACAATTCTAATCCCAGCACTCTGAGGCTGAGGCTGAGGTAAGAGTATCACAAGTTTGACCCTGACCTGCGCAATTTAATGACTCATGAGACCATGTCTCAAAAATGAAAAAGAGGGCCAAGGATATAGCTCAGAGTGAAGGCGTTAGGTTCAATTACCAGTGCCACCACCACAAAAAATAAAGCAACAACAAAAATATTAGGTTACTTAATAATGAGAAATTTCTATCTCCTCAATAAACTAAATTTTCAAGTCTGGATGTGGTGGTGCCCACCTGTAATCCCAGCACTGGGGAGGCTGAAAACAGGAGGATCACAATGAGTCCAAGCTGTGTAGTGAGACCTTGTACCAAATACATAAAAAAATAGAAAGAAAAAAAACCCCTAAATTTTTATTGTTTCATTCTTAGCACTAAATGAAGTATCAAGATCACAAAACATACTAAAGTTTTACTAAGTGAATAAAACAAAGACAGAACCAGAAGCCACTATGGCAAATACAGCCTGACCTGGAGAAATTCAGCTGTTAATGAAAAGTTTTTAGAAAATTAAGTTTATAATTCTCAAGAAGGCTAACAGTAACATGCACAATATCTATGTACACATACACACAAACAGCAACATTTTAGTCAAAAGTAGAGGTCCACTCAACAGAATCCACTAAAATTCCAAATTTCTGTTGCCTGTTGTTTTCAATCACAGAAACATGTTTTATTTCTTGTGTTTAGGAAACGAAGAGCTGTCTTCTATGGTTAAGGAAGTGGCTATAACACTAACATAAAATAGAAGATTTAGAAATCTCAAAGCAACCTTTAATTAGTAAATCTCAATACATAGAAATTAGATACCAGGCATTTGAACCACTCATACCATTAGGTCTGAATGTTGTCTTTTGAAAATGTTGAGAATCTTCACACATCAAGGAAACCTAATGCTCAGCTACAATTGTAAAATTTATTTACTGTTTTGAATGTCAAGACGTAAGGGTGTCAGCATTCTGAAATAATTTAATTCACGTAGGTGTAAGATTCAATAGCCTCTCACAATTGAAACACTGTGCTGTTCAAGAAATATCTCAAAATGTCATCCCCAGGTGTTCTGTCTCAGGAACCCCTTTATTTCCAATTTAGTTTGCTTTTGATTCAGTTCCCCAAGAGTTGGTCAGAGGATCCACGTAGGCTTCTTTATTTGTCACTGCCAGACACGCTGCTGGTTGGAGCCTTGGTCCACTGCTCCATCCTCTGGGTGTATTGGTTGCAAATGAGCCATTTTAGGTTGGGGATTTGACTCTTAAAAGTACTCTCCAGTGTGCTAGATTCCATATCTAGCCTCTCTTCTGGCTGCAATTCCCTGCTAGAAAGTATTCATCTTGCATGCTTAACATACCTTTGTTATGTAGATTCCAAATGTGGGAGTTGGTCACTGAAATAAAAAGATGGGTAAGGTTCAGTGTTTACTTTAGACAAAGACTGATAGACAATTTTCTTGGGTCTAAACTAATTTTTATTGAGTATTTGTTATGTGCTAGGCACTATGTAAATCTATTGACATGGACTAACCAGTTATTCTATCAAAAACCCTGTGAGATGGGAGCTACTCTTTTATATTTAATGTTCACATGAAAGAACAGAAAGTATATCCAACTAGGAAGAAGTGAAGGTAGGCATTGGAGACAGTTGTATCCCTCACCCCCAATGTGGCTTCCTATGAAATGAAGCGTTGCACTGTAGGACACTGAATGGCAAACATGGCAGCAAAAAATGTGGCCACGAGTTAAGGAGATGGGGATCTCAGGGATACTTCCAAAGGGAAGAGGCCAAAATTTTGGCAATGTGACTGCGGCTGGGAGAGACCTGGGATTCTACCAGGTCAGTGGTAGCTACTCAAGCAGGAGTGAAGAACTTGCTTCTGGATTTGGCATCCTTTTCGGGCATAGTGCGGTGCGGGCCACCACTGATGTAGGGACTCCAGAAACACGTGTGCGGGCAGCTTGCAGAAGTGAAAAAGACAGCTCAGAGGGGAGCAGTGGACAACCAAAGATTCACAGGGAAACATCAAACAGGCGAGTTTCCAGGGCCTATCGAATTTTGCAATTAGGTCTTCATTATTAATCACAAAAGCTTTTATGTTCCCTGTGCCAGGCAAAGATCACCCACGTGATCTCATCCAACCCTGGCAACCAATCTGGAAGTTTATGTTACTTTCTGTAGACAGTTCCTTGCATGACTGAGGACAAAATCCAACCTGTAGAGGGTAGACAAATGGCTGGGTGGGAGAGTGTAAGCTGCATTGGGGATAAGTTTGAGATGACAAAGGATTGAGCTCCTACCAAAGGCTCGTCCATGTGACAGACACTTTAGCAGTGCTTTCTAAAGTCATCCAAACAAAACTCTAAAAGGAATGCTTTGCTATTCACCTTTAAAGAAGAAACCCAGATATGTAGGCTTAAAGTGAACCCTGCTTCTATCAGAAAAGCCCCTGGCCTCAGAAGAGCAAGAGACACTGAACGTTTACAGCACTTAGCCAGGCTCTGAGAACTGTGCATCAAAACATCAGTTAAAACGCTTACTTCTTTACTAAGTGTGTTGTTCAGAGGCCCTCAGGCAGGAAGTGAGTTTCCCTCTGTGCTGACCTCTGCTCCACCACCTGCTGTGTACCCTCTAGCCTCAGTTGTCTAGTCTGCAAAGTGGGCTTTGTTTTTATTTCAATTTCTTTCTTTATTTTGGTATTGGGGATCAAACTCAGGACCTCGCACTTTCCAGGCAGGATCTTACACCTCTGAGCTATCTCCCAAGCCTTTATTTTGAAAATAGTGAAAAATAAAGAACAGCACAGACCTAAAGGCACGGTCTGTGTCAGACTCCTAACTCTGGCTAGTAACTTAATCTCAATTTCACCTCCAGAAAAGGGAGAATTAGAAAAAATACCCAAGCTAGCAACCGCAAGGGCCGCTTGCTATTCAGGACCTTCCAGAGAAGAGGGTCCCGTTGCACCAGGCTGTCCTGCAGGGTAACCTTGGAAGGGGCCCTAGGGGTGCGGCCGGCCGGTGGCGAGTTAGCTCGTACATTTATTTGTTTCTAAAAGGGATGGACTCTCACTTATTTTTCTCCTCCGAAGATGAGAGAAGCCATATGGGCAAAACTCTCGGGATAGCAGGTAGTGAGGGACGGCAGGCAGATCCAGGTTATAGGGACCTACAGCGCAGGTGACAGGCTGGGAAGGAGCCCAGGGTTGTGCTTACACCGCGGTTTTGTTTGGAATCCTAAGGGTGAGTGCACGGGAAGCAATTCTGTTTTCCTCTACCTTCTTGTTAGCCAGGATGTAGGCACAGTTCTTCAAGAGATTTTTTTAAAGTCCCTCCTCTTTCTTCCTCCGTGTTGTCTTTACCCCTCCTGCCGCAGCCACCCCCACTGCCTTCCTCTCCTCTCCCTCCCCCTGCTGGTTCTCTCTTACTTCGCTTGCGGCTGTGCTCCGGGCTGCAGACAGGTCCCTGCTGCCTTCGAGGCGAGAGGACACTAGCGGCAGCGGACCTAGCAGCCCGAGCCGAAGGACGGGTCCTGCAGGCTGTCTGTCTGTTCTCCCCACTCTCGCACGCGCGCACGCGCGCACCCCACACCCGCACACAACACTCGCACCGGCCGCGCCGCCTCCTTGGATCCGGGAAAGGCGAGCGGGCGATCGCCTACGGCCCCGGCGCGCACCCGTCTCCGGCAAGCAGCCGGCTCAGTTTGGGCCGCGCGTGCCCCGCAGCTAAAGTGGGAAGAGAGTAGACAAGGCTGCCAGCGCGTCCGGGCCGCACGCCCAGCAACCAGCTGCAGCCCCTCGGAGCG